GGACCCTATAGAGGTCATAATTTTATCCGATTTAAAAAAAACGTATTTTATATCACCGTTACACCCTAAGGATGGCTGAGTTCGAATTTCGTGTAAATCGGTCCAAAATTGACAGACAAAATGGCCGCTGTTCGTTCTCAATTAGCGTATATCAAGGTTGTGGACCCTATAGAGGTCACAATTTTTATCCGATTTTGTTGAAACTTGAAATGTAAGTTTATAACACAAAGATCTCGGTTCCTTTCGATATTTGCGCATATCGAATTGTAATTTTCTGAATTATGGCCCTTGATTGTAGGAAAAATCACTTTCTTTCTGACTTGTTCTCTATCCATTTCTCAAAAATGTGGGCGTATCATGCCTGGCAGCCGCTGGTTATGTATCTAAATGCCCCGATCTTTGATGTAAATGTTGCGACCATACAACGCCCAACAGCACGTAAACATTTTATAACTATACGCACATTTAAAGATACATTATGGGAGATTAGATAACGAGTTGGCAGTTCTCACTATAATAGTTAAAAACTAGATAATGTAAAGGCAATTTGCTGAAAATTTCATTCAAATTGATCCACTATGAACCGAGAATTAAACGATTGAAATTTCCGCCTAGCTTCTATCATCATTACTAAGGTCAGTACGATAAACAGCATAGTCTCGATTATCCACTTAATCATTTTAACGATTTAAAAATCGTGAAGGAAAGTTATGCAGTAAATCAGCTCATAATCCACTAAAATTCGCAGGTAAGCGATGCCATCGAGAGTTGATTATGGTCTGGATAGGTTAAGTAATGTCTAATTAATAATTTAGATAACATTTCAGGCCTAAAGAAAGACCTTCATTCTAATAGACAGATTTACATGTACTTCTTGCATAATGTATGTTTAACGTCAACGACAATATGAACTATGGCACACAAAAAAACTCATATATGCCTTGACTTGTAATAGTTGTCGGACACAGTACGCAACCATCGACGGGATTGTAACATTGAAAATGGGCCTTTATTTTTAAATATGGACACCAATTTAAAGATGCACACCACCTACAATTAAAATTCCAAATTTTCCTGTTTTATAAAATTAAAGTCGATGACATAACAAAAACAGACAATTGTAACTGTAGACTATTAAAACCACAGTGTTACTATGTAAATATGTATAAATTGTTGTATTGTGTCCATATCTATACATTGACATTATTTATGAAGAGCTCCCAGATGAGGGAAAAGTACTTTTTAATATGCTAAAATGTTATTAGAAGAAATTAGTTTGTGTCGGCATATATTTTATCTTTTCATCGTTTACCGTGAGCTTTATGGATGCGATAATATTTATGTCATTGGGGGGGGGGGGGGGGCCTCAAAAAAATCATTCACAGTGCCTTTAGTGCTTTTATTTTGGTGTCTAAACGTGCTTGAGATGATACTGAACAATAAAAAATGGATGAAAATAAAAAATAATGACTTTGGAAATTATGAAGCAAATATACCATTCAGCACTGCTCAACTACAGGGTAAACAACTCAACATGGGAAATCACACAGTCTCACAGAGATACCTGAATAATATATACAGTACAACCATCAAGGCTTAAAATTTTGAAAACTATCTTTGTTTTAGCACACCACGTCCATATAATTAAACTTTTTTTTTCAAATATCCTCCATTTTTTTTCAAGGGACTACTTTCAGACTTTTTGTATGGAGTACCATCATAAACATCATTTGGATTAAATGTTTCGGGTCTTTATGGAAAATTATAAATACTGCATCACAATTTCCTTGAAACTGCTTTTGATTTTCATCAATTTTTTTATAACGAATACACATTGTTATCATTTGTATTACTTCTTAATTCACCCCTTGAAACTTTGTGCCAGAAAGCATAAAGATGCACTGACAATTAATCATTGAACATTTTTACAGTAAAATAATTTGTTATAAATTTTATTCAATATTTATTCACACTCAACACGTCGTTTAATCTTAGATTGTACACTAATAGTCCACTGTTGAATGTGGAAAGGTCCAGCTGAATGATTGATGGGAAAATATGATGTGTTCCAAATGGTACTCCATAGAAATGAATTTGCCCCACAAAAATTATATCTAGGTAACAAATTCTATATCAGACCCTTAAAATGATTATTAATCTAACATAAATGAAAAATAATATATCTAAAATTTAGAAACAAGCCTTTTTATACGCCCACATTTTCATGTGGACGTATTATGCCGTCGCCCCTGTCCGTCCGGACGTCCGGACGTCTGTCTGTCTGTCTGTCTGTCCGTCCGTCCACAAATTGTTTGTGGACACTCTACAGGTCACAATTCTTATCCGATTGTAACGAAACTTGAAATATAGGTGTATCTCCAAAAGATCTCGGCTGCTTTCGATATTGGCATGTATCGGATCGAAACTTCATGGATTATGGCCCCTGTTTGTACGAAAAATCACGTTTTTGGCTTGTGGACCCTATAGAGGTCACAATTTCTATCCGATTATGTTGAATCTTGAAATGTAAGTTTATAACCCAAAGATCTCGGTTCCTTTCGATATTCGCGCATATCGGACCGTAAATTCCTGAATTATGGCCCGTGATTGTACGAAAAATCGCGTTTTTAGCTTGTTACACCCTAAGCACGACTGAGTTTGAATTTCGTGAAATTCGGCCCAAAATTGACAGACAAAATGGCTGCCCTTCGTTCTCAAATAGCGTAAAGATTGGGTATTTCAAGGTTGTGGACCCTATATAGGTCACAATTTTTATCCGATTTTGTTGAAACTTGAAATGTAAGTTTATAACCCAAAGATCTCGGTTCATTTCGATATTCGCGCATATCGGACCGTAACTTCCTGAATTATGACCCCTGATTGTACGAAAAATCGCGTTTTTAGCTTGTAGACCCTATAGAGGTCATAATTTTTATCCGATTTAAAAAAACGTATTATTATATCACCGTTACACCCTAAGGACGGCTAAGTTCGAATTTCGTGAAAATCGGCCCAAAACTGACAGACAAAATGGCCGCCCCTCGTTCTCAAATAGCTTAAAAATATGGTATATCAAGGTTGTGGACCCTATAGAGGTCACAATTTTCATCCGATTTTGTTGAAACTTGAAATGTAAGTTTATAACCCAAAGAATTTGGTTCCTTTCGATATTTGCGCATATCGAATTGTAATTTCCTGAATTATGGCCCTTGATTGTAGGAAAAATCACTTTCTTTTTAGCTTGTTCTCTATCCATCTCTCGAAAATGTGGGCGTATTCTGCCTGGCAGCCGCTGGTTGCTAACATTTACCAACACTTGACAACGGCAGCCATGATAGCTTAGATTTTGACAGTTCTGTCGTCATCAATTAACAGAACGTTCCATATGAATAATGTTGATATCAAAAGGTGTGACAGTTCTTGCAAATGAAGCGCAATAGACTATAATATTAAGATTTACCACCTGATGTAAGGATAATTGTGATAGTATAAGTCAAAAAGTATTAAGGCCTACTGGATTTTTTATTTACCTTTCTGTGTCGAATTACCGCTCAAATGAAGTGTTGCTCGCATCAATGAGTTCATTCATGACTGATTTTTTAAATATTATCTTTTGTATTTTGATATGAATTAATCGTATTCCGTGATTGTTTAAATTAAAAAATCAAAAATTTGTATTTAAAATTAACACTTTGCTCATTGATATTAGCATAAGGTCAAGGACATAACAGACGGGTAGACTCAATGACGTCTATAGACGTCATTGGGTAGACTAATCACCGGAATTCATTTACAATCACCGGAATTCAATTACAATCACCGGAATTCACTTCGAAAATCCCCGGTTTCTCCTACAAAATTAATTTATTTTAAATGTATAATACATTATAATAACGAATAACTATTTTGATCTCTCCACGGGCCAGATGAGGGCGCTGTAACTGTATTTATTTGAAACACTACCGGAATTCATTTCAAATGTATGCATCATGATTATGATAACGTAGGGCACGTCGGGGTGCGTCGAATTACCCTATAGGCCTAACTCCAAAATAACAATTTGCGTCGAATAACTCCAAAATAACACCCAATTACTCCAAAAATGTTGACTTTGGAAACACAAAATAACAATTTAGTTGAATTTAAGAAGCCTGGTCGCGGGTGCCCAAAACGGAGGTTCACGGGAGATAACTCGTGTGTGATTTTTGTTGACAAAAAAAAAAATGTATACTTTCGTTGTAATGTATTGTAATTAGATATGAATTGGGTTTAGATTTCTTTTTAGGTGGGTTTTTTTTTTTTTTGGTCTATTAATTTTTGGGTTTGGGTTTAGATTTCTTTTTAGGTGGGTTTTTTTTTTTTTTTTTTTTTTGGTCTATTAATTTTTTGAATATAGTATAATTTATACTTGAATCAATCATATGGTAATATATAAAATAGTAACAAAGAGTTTTGTTTACTGGGGTTTTGGTTTTTTTTCTTTTGTTCTTGGGGTTTTAATTTGGGGCGTCATCTAATTGCGTATATTGCCTTACAATAAAATAAACGGGGGGGGGGGGGCAGCTATATTTCCCATGCAATATAAAGAAATTGAATGAAAATTATTTTTGTGAATGATAGTATGTTTAAATTTTATAACCCGGGCCATTGGCAATATTATCATTATTCCAAATATATTTTACACATATATTACAATTATTACAATAGGGGTTGACATAAATTTTATTACAATAGGGGTTATGCCGTGTAAACCTCTATTGTAATATCAACCCCTATTGTAATAAATGTGTTTAAGTGTAGAGACGGATTTAAAAAAATGCTATCAGGAGGATTATGTTATCTGATGCACACAGAAAAGATTTTTCAAAATCCTCACACATGGCCTAAAACATTTACGGGGTCATACTGGTCACTTTGATACCACATATATATGGGTGCAGAGCGGCGAGGAAGCTAATAAGTCTTTAAATCGAAAGGCTATTATACATGTCTATACTTACCTTCGTAATCCTCTGGTATGACTACAGTTTCATCTGTTTCTCCAAATCTTTCTACCCTGGTGTCAAACAGAACATTTCTTGCAAGTAGTTTTCTGATCGTACGGGTTTCGTAGAACAAAATAGGTTGACCTAGATTTACTGGCAATGGTTGTTGACGTTTCGTTAATAAAATCTGTGGATTACAACGTACTACTTGTGGTAGATTGAACTGCTGTGGGATGTCTTTTAAAGAATATGATTGTGAACTCCATTGGACGGTAGAGCTATCGCCACGAGCACTGTTCCATCCATTTAATGATCGTTTTCCTTGAGAATTTGTTCTAACTCTGCTACTCATTTCCAATAATCTATTATAGTTATTTAAACCTATAAAAAAAAATCTCCGCACAATATTCAGTTTTCTGTTAATGAATTTCACATCACAGTTCTGCTACATATATTTTACTTGTTATGATATGACAATAAAGTATCTTTGTTGTAAACACTGGCGATAGGTAGCCTCCATACAAAAGTCTGGATTAACGTCTCAGTGTGGTTCAATGTAAGATCCTATACCTCACTTATAATGAGCGAATCCAAACAAAAGCTCCCATTTACAACGCCTGCACGGTTACGGTGACAGAGTTTCAATGGGTGTGCTTGTTCATATACTTTGTGATCGGTTGAGCGAAGAAAATAAAAATATATTTGCTATACAAACAAGCTTATATACATATATATCTTAAAATTAAGAGTTCAAGATACACAGGCTTTACTTGTGACGGATGAATTTCAAATACTTGTATATCCGTCTATTACTCCCTTTATCCATAAACCTATTTGGCAACGATATCGATATAAACAGTAGTATATTAAATCAAGCGTTAATTTAACCTCATACAATTATTATAACATACAGATTAACACTTTGATAACATATTACAGTTTCTCTGTCGATCGAGGGCGCTGCGCTATTTTGTCTTCTAAGTTATTTTATGCTTTACTGTGCCCCACATGCTCTTTTCTCGCGATTCGACAGTTCATCTTAAAGGACAATATTGGTGCCAGTCATTATCACATATGTGATAGAACTGGTTAAACACGTTCCAAATATTATTTTATCACAGAGATCATTGCTACGATAGATGAGTAATCAATGTTTCAACGACAGGAAGTGACGAACGCAATAGGAAAACACGAGTTATCCCTTTATATAACTGAATGAAGTGACGGGTGATAACAGATACATGGGCGAATTTCTGCTCACTAATAATTCCTTCGAAGACCAAAAGTTGTTGTATGGGACTGTGAAAGGTTATCTGACAATTCATAAACAAAATTGACTATCACTAGATAAGAGAACATGAAAGAAAAATAGAAAAAGTCCGTGCATTACCATGTTTTTATAAGTATAGAATGAATAAACACCCGTGAATGTACGGACTGTTTCTATTTTTCTCGTGTTCTCTTATCTAATGACATGCAATTACTTTTTTGAATTGTCAGATATACTCTTACAGTCTCATGTAACAACTTTTGGTCTTCGAAGGAATTTTTAGTGAGCAGAAATTCGCCCCTGTATCTGTTATCACCCGTCACTTCATTCAGTTACATAAAGGGATAACTAGTGTTTTCCTTTTGCGTTCGTCACTTCCTATTGTTGAAACATTGATTACTCATACATCGTAGCAATGATCTCTGTGATAAAATAATATTTGGAACGTGTTTAACCAGATCTATCACATATGTGATAATGACTGGCACCAATATTGTCCTTTAAGTTTACAATAGTAAGTAATATAGATATCCAATTTAAAACATATTAACTATCGGTATTCTTCCTAATGATCATAATTAGGAAGCATCAGCAGTCTAAAGCTAAATCGGGCCAATATACAGGGGCAGGCTAAGATCGGCCGCCGGAGGCGCCTCGTTCTGAAGGTTTTAGAAAATTACGAAAATTAAATCGCCGTATAGATGAGATTTAGAGCACTTTTCTGTTGGTTTAGATACACACTGGAACCGATGATTTCGTTGCCCAAATCCGACGAAAACAAATGAAATTGGATTCAACGGCCTGCTTTTCTGCATCAACCGGACTAATGAAGTGTATGAGGGAAAATTTGCCTAGACTGCGTCGTTTTCGCCTATTATCGACATCCCGGTGTTGGCCCGGGCGAGCACGTAAAACATTTTTGACAGTTGTAAATCGAAATAATAGTAAATCGTAGCCAGGCAAAATCTCCCTCATAGTACACTGTATGGAGTATGCCCGTCTTCATTGTCCCTGATGGTGCAGAAAAGTAGAACGTTAAACTCGATTTCATTTATATTCACCACGGCGAAAAACAAGGGCTACAAATTGATTGCATGCAAAGCATCTGCCATTTTCGCCGTATATGCAGATGTGAAACACATGATAATAAGAATACGGGAAGCTTATTCAAACCACACAGTTTCTTTGACAAGGCTCTACTGAACTAATCATGGTTACCGAGCAATAGGCATTTTTTTACGTAAAAAGAGTATTTCGATATAGATGGGGATTCTAATTTGACAATGGTTCTGCAATTGTTAACCACTCAGTCCCTGGAAACAAAATTGACAAAAGAAAAATGGCCTTCGCCAACTGGAGCCTGGAGGGCCTCCAGAGATTGAGTGAACAGTTTTTTCAATTGTTAATGCGGAATTAAAGTACTTTTTGAAGACATTGGATTGAATTTTTTTCCAATTGTTGTTAGCCTTCTAAAAGATAGGTTGCCAGACAACAAAGCATACGCCCACAGCAGCTAAATCGTCCGTGCGGTCGACAAGGGTTGTCGCATATTTATTCTTTTGTAGGTAATTAGGGGCATTTAATAGACAATTTCATACAGATGACATTATAATTTTCGTCGTTTGAGGGTTCACAAGGTTCTAAAAACTAACACAAGGGCCGTAACTTTGGAATTAATCTACAGAAATTCTTGAAATTCGACAGGCTTTGTCGTTTTACTAATTCAAATAATGCATATAAATTTCATACAGATCAGATGATAACTTTTTGTCGTTCAAGCGTTCACAAGATTCAACAAAGTGAAACAAGGGTCATAACTCTAGATGTAATTAACGGAAATGTGTTGAAACTCGATAGGCTTGTTCGTTTTATTTGTCATTAGAGCATTCACAAGGTACAAGAAAGTGAAACAAGGGCCATAACTCACGGCGTAATTAACGGAAATTGCTGAAATTCAATAGGCATCTTCGTTGCACTAATTTAAATGATGCATATCAATTTCAAACAGATCGGATGATAACTGTTGCCATAAGAGCGTTCACAACATTCAACAAAATGAAACAAGGGCCATAACTCTGGATCTAATTAACGGAAATTGCTGAAATTCAATAGGCGTATTTGTTTTACTAATTTAAATGATGCATAAAAATTTCAAACAGATCGGTTAATAACTTTTGTCGTTAGAGGATTCACAAGGTACAGCAAAGCGAAACAAGGGCCATAACTCACGGCGTAATTAACGGAAATTGCTGAAATTTAATAGGCTTCTTCGTTTCACTAATTTAAATGATGCATATCAATTTCAAACAGATCGGATGATAACTGTTGTCATTAGAGTGTTCACAAGATTCAACAAAGTGAAACAAGGACCATAACTCTAGATGTACAGTAATTAACGGAAATTGCTGAAATTCAATAGGCTTCTTTGTTTTACTAATTTAAATGATGCATATCTATTTCATACAGATCGGTTGATAACTTTTGTCGTTAGGGCGTTCACAAGGTGCAACAAAGTGAAAAAAGGGCCATAACTCCAGAAGAATATTAATGGAAGTTATTGAAATTAAATAGGCTTCTTCATCTCACTAATGCAAACGACATATATCAATTTCAAAACAATCAGATGATAAATGTAGTCTGTAGAGTGTTCACAAGAAATTATGGACGACGGACGGACGGACGGGGGCGAGGGCGTATAAAAATAAATATATCTATGGGCTGATGGCACGTGATTCGCGATTCGCTCTAGAGCACCGTGATAGTAAGTCCAGAAGACTTTAGACAAACGAATAAGAACTTGACCTGCGCATAATGAATGATGGGACGACGCACGGCTCAAGAATCGTGTGCCTTTCGACTGGACACACACATAGGGGCCCTAGGACTGGAGCCAAAGGTGCCCTTTTGTACGATTCGAGGACCCTATTCTTCGACTAGGGGGCCCCTCCACGGGACTCGGGGGCCCTGTCCCAGCGGGTCCATATCAAGTTTTCTGTCCGGATTCAGTGTGTTCTTTCAGGGGTTTTTCTTTTTTGAGATTTCTTTAACAAAAATTGGAATCGGAGGCTATAATCCGCTTCTGCAAATGTGTTATTTTGCTTTTTAACTATAATGTCTACTTAGTAACTTGAAATTACAACTGAGTAAATTGAAATAACCAGATAATACATTTTGTATATTGCGTTGTAATTTGATCGTATATTGCTGTCGCTCCTGTACGTTCGTCTCCCCGCCCCATCGTCCACTCTAAGAGACTATATTTATCAGCCGATCATGTTATATCCTTTTAGAACGAGGACCATGCAGAAATTAAAAAAAATGGATAACCCTGGTGGGTAGCAATTTTCAATCATACTTTGTCTATGGGAACGCATGACAACTGACGGTATAACTGGAAATTGTTGTTTTTGGTCAAAATATGGTCTTGGAAAGAATTATTAGTGAGCAGAACGATTATCGATACAGTTTTAAAATATCGCTGATCACGCAATTATAGTTACTTAACTTGTAAAAAGAAGTCCATGAAAATAACCCTTATCACTGTATTCTTTGCAACGGGTGCTTGGGTCTAGATCTGTAATTAAAGAGAATATTCATAATAAAACACACACGTTTTGGCGGGTTTTTTTTCACGCGAGACGCCACCGCTGAGAAAAGTTGGCCGCTTATGATGCGAGTCAATGGTTTCACGTAACATTCAGTTGTGCCACTTATTTAACGCTTCATTTCTTTCGTCTTCTCTGTTTCTAAGTCAAACACAATCTGTTTAAAACACAGATCCTATTTCGTTTCGTTTTTAAAGTTTAAAATTTGGTTTTACTTGTCTTTACTACACTAGGACCTGGAAGAGTTGTTATCATTGACGTGTTCTGGATGATGGGAGGGATTAGCCAATGAAACGGTCTGTTACGACGTGCTTTTGGCGTGAGCTGCACGGTACTAGAAACATTAATGCTGGTTGGTTAATCAAATATCAAAACTGGTCAGATCTTCGTGTAGTGTAGGCCATCGAAAGTATAAAAAACGAAAGGAAATATAGATCTGTATTTTAATCAGATTGAGCCAAACACGTACTTTCCCTTTATTATTTCATAATGGAATTTGCGAAGAAATGTCGGAAGAGGAGATTTTTAAATTTCCCGGGACGAAGAGCAACTTGTTAGAGTGGTTCATACTCAAATTTTTTTTACAACAAACAGGCACTATTTCGGGATTATTTTAACATTATATGATAAGACTTGCCATAAAAACTTCATTCATCAGCAATGGACGTCTGACCACATTTGTTTTTTGAGGATATTACCATTTGGAATTTTTTTATAAATGACTCAAAATTCTCCCTGCTTCCATTATCAGGACTAAGACTAGTAATTATTTCCCCTTATTTCATGATGGACGAATGTAGTGCGAGTTATAAATAGACAATTTTTCCCTTAATTTTTTCTCCCCTCTTCCTGCATTTTTGGGTTGACTTTTTGGTCTAGATTTGGAGAAAAGGGATCAAATTTGCAATTTCATAGCAGTTTTGGGTAATACTGATGATATTACAGCGGAGGGATAGGGGGTGTAAAGTGTCTTTCTGCAGAGCAATCATTGTGTCGGAAGTGAGATTTTTACCCCTGTCAACTTCAAATCCGTGTAGCAAAAAATCTAAACGGTCAACCCCCTACAAAATTATGATGAGGAGATTGCCAAATGTTGTCCCCATTGTGCCTATAAAGATTGGAACCAACGGAATGTTGAGCAAAAAGCTACAGCCTGTGATGTTACAGTCATTTAACATTGAAGTCAATGGGCAAATAATTGCTAGTCTGAGTCCATCAAGGCAGTTACAACTCTTAGTGACAATACG